GCGGTGGGCGGTGGGCGATGGGCGGTGGGCGGTGGGCGATGGGCTCGTTCCCGGTGCTCGGGGGGCAGCGGGAGCGGCGCTGCGGGGCGGGACGGGCGGGAGGTGCCGGGGGACGGCGGGGAAGCCGCGGCGGGGCCCGGGGGCTGCAGCTCTCGGGCTCTGCCCGGGCTCGGCGGGAGGAACCGGGGGTCGGCACGGCGCGATTCGGGTCTTTTTTGTCCCGTTGTTCTGGTTTCCTTTTCGACCGCTGCGGTGCTGGGCAGGAAAGGCTGGGAAAGAAAGCCCGGGAGCGGCTTCCCGACGGGCTTTGCAGACATTTGGCACCTTGGGAGGAGGCACAAATCCCCGCGGGGCCGAGCGAGGGCTGCGGGGAGCTGGGCCGGGGCTGGGCCCGGTCCCCAAAACCCGCTGCCAAAAGCGGCCCAAAAGAACCCCAGAGCCCGGCGAGGGTGACAAAGGGACGGGGCAGCCCCAGGTGTGGCCGGTGAGGATGACGAGGGGCCGGCCCTGCCGGGGGGTTTCCTGAGAGCACTTTTTGTCGGGAGCTTCTGCAGGGGAGCCGTGGATCCCAGGCAGTCTCTCCAGCCAGGAATTTCCCCTGATATTTTAGCTCCTAAAACCAGTGAGTTTTACTTCCTCTGTGCACAAAACCTGATGGTATTTGTTAAACTCACTTGCTAAGTTATGCATTGCTTGATGAACCCTTTCCTCTTTGCCTTTTCCTAGAGGGATGATTGGTCCTGCCTTGGAAGCAAGAGAATGTCCTGGTGTCTGGGAATATTTTGGGCATAAAACTGGAGGTAAACTGTAGGGGACAGAGTGTGTATTTGGAGTGTAATAGCTCAGCAAGTCAGTAGGGGAGCGATTCAAGTCATAAACAGGAAATCAATATTTTGGGGCTGCCTTTCTGAGGGGGAATAACAATTGTTTTCCGTGGGAAGGCAAGCACATGGCCCCCATGATTTGAGGTGTAGATGACAACCTGCCCAGGGGAGGTAAAGGACAGCAAGACTTTTGTGTCCTGACCCTTTATGGACAAATTGGTGGAAAGGTGAAGCTTTCACTCAGCGTCTGGGTAAGCTGATGAGTCCGTTTTTTGTGAGGGCCTCCAGCCATGTCCCTGGAGGGAAGGGAGGGAGGGATGGGCTGGATGGAGCCCCGGGCGTGTGCTTGTGGGAACACACTTTTCCAGGGGGCTGGGATCCGGGTCGGGCTCCAGTTCCCCTGGTGTCCAGGGATGCAGGGTCTGAGGGCTTGGATCTCCCTGGGGCTTTGCAGGAGACCAGGAGTGAGAGGAAACGTGGTGCCAGAGCTGTGTCCCAGTGGGCTGTGTTTGCCTCTGAGGACAGAGAACCTGTGGGCTGAGGTGACTGTGAGTGTTGGGATGAGCAATCCAGGGAACAGGGAGCTCAGATCAGTCCTTGGGCTGGAATTGAACTGGGAGATCAGCTGGTCTGGCCCCAGAGAGCACAACTGGAATCAGAATAATGACCTGGCCTGTGCCCACTGCCACTTATTCATTCCAAAGCACGTGTTGGTTCTGTTTTAAGAACTTAAAATAACTTTAAAAGAAATAAGTCACCATTTCCTCCTTCTTTTTCCCTCTCAGGTGATGGAATTGCCTCTCTGTTCGTGTGCTGAGCTGCGGCTGCAGGGACTGTCAGG